CATGATTGTGGTTCAAGCTCTCCTTCGGGCTGGCTACTGTCAGTGCAGGTACCTTAGGATGCTATTCCACCTCCCTCTGCTCCTCCCCTATACACACTCTCTCAAAAATAAACATTAAAAAAACTATATATATATAGAATTCTTTTTTTATAAATATATTTTATATAAATATAAATAAAGAATATAAATTCAATAAATCATGAGATAAAATATAATGATAAAATATCAAATGAGTGGAAAATGGACCTAAAGAATCAGAATTAAGTTCTAAGACACATGCAGATCTAAAGCTAAATTAGAAGCGCCTGGGTGAGCATAGTCGGGTTGAGCCCAACTTAGCTAGGTCAGTGATCTCACGGTTTGTTCGGCGTCAACATCAGGCTCTGTGCTTACTGCTCAGAGCTTGGAGTCAATTTCAGATTCTGTGTCTCCCTCTTTGTCTGCCCCTCCCCTGCTCACACTTTGTCTCTCTCTGTCCTCTCAAAAATAAATGTAAAAAAAAATTAAAGCTAAATTAGAAACACAGTAGCACGATATAGATCAAAAACATCCAGAGCAGAGCTTTAAACACACACACACACACACACACACACACAACACTAGTAAAGACATAAAATAACTACAGAGGAAAAAACACACATGAGACTAAGCAAAGACAAGTTGACATTTGACTAGTAATTTGGAGTCCCTGAAGCTAAGGACAAAACCAAATGGACAGGAAGAGGTACAGATCGTATACAAAGATTTTCTTGTCAAAGAGGAAGAAATAATCTCTAGATTGAAAGGAATCATATGGTACTTGGAAAGGCTGATAAAGAACCATCAGCATCCAGAAGTCAGTAATTTCAAGTGTAATGATATAATTCTTCAGGTGAAAGTTATTAAAAAAAAAAAGTCACTCCAATGGTGTACAATATAAAAGCAGCGATATATATTACCAGAAGTGTAGTCTCCTCCCTAAGAGAGAACCAGTTTGGTTTTTTAAGTAATCTCTACACAATTTGGGGCTTCAGATTTACAACCCGTAACAGAGTTGCAGGCTCCATGGAGCCAGCAGAACTAAAAGAAAGAAGTTTTATTTTTATCTTTTTTAATTCTTCTTTAAATGTTTATTTATGTATTTTGAGAGAGAGAGAGAGAGAGAGCAACCATACAAGCAGGGGAGGGCGAGAGGAGTGAGAGAGGGAAAATTCCAAAGCAGACTCCACACTGTCAGCACAGGAGCCTGAACACAGAGGCTAGATCGATGAACCATGAGATCATGACTGGAACGCAGAACTGGCCAACCAGCTGAGTCACCCGGACCTCAGAGAACAGCATGAAAAGGAA